AAAAGTGACATAATCAAAGCATGATTAGGTGGCATTGGTGCATAATTGTAATCCCATTCTTGTATTATCATACACAAATTTGTCGGTTGTGGCTAATCCGTTTAAGGCTAATAATGTAAGGCAGAAACAAAACTTTTTATTAATAATAATGCAAGGCAAAAATAAGAGGTAATACTCATGAAAAATGGATAGCAACAGTTAAGGCTAATCATTCTCATGTATACATTTTCAACAAATAACGAAGTTGAACTCATTCTGATTGCTATTCTATTCGTTAAAGAATCCCTAATTCATTTAACAAACACTTAAAAAACACTTTCATTAATGCAAGGAGCAAGAAATTAGAGGCCACCACCAGCACCAAAGCCTCCACCTCCACCTCCACCTGCTCCACCACCAACACCAAAGCCTCCACCTGAACCAGCTCCACTACCTGTACCACCACCAGCCGTTGTTTCTATCGGACAACCAAACCTTGCCGGCTGTTCCTAAACCGGCAACCCACCGCTGATTCTGCTAATTGAACCACCAACAGGCGACAACCACAATCATAATCACAACCCGCTGCTGCTGTTGCACCCTCCACCAGCACTACAAACCAATCGCTAGACGACTCATCTTCCTCCAGTATTCTGCCTCACCTACCTCAGCTACAGCCTAAATTGTCGACCACCTTCCCCAATCGCAAGTCCCCACTCCAACCGCCACCATCGCAAAGCCGAATACAACTGATCCTTGGCCACCATCGCAAAACCACCACCAAGCAACATCATAAGCCCACCTCAAATTTCTATTTCCCAAAATTACCAAACGACGCCTCCGTTACATCTACTTTCTGTCAAGCCTTCCAACCAAACGACCCTTATAGGTTAGCCTTTCGGCTATTTGGGGGTTTTTATAGGGTAGATGTTTAAGATCTCCACGAATAAAATGAGAAGAGTGAAGATGAACGGAGACGGAGGAAGACGTCGACGAAATCGACGGAAAATGGTCGGAAATGCAGATTTCAGGTTGAGGTTTCTTGAAAATGGAGGAAATCGACTTTGAATAGGGAACATTTCTACGGATGAAGAATGGGTTTCTGTTGGGTCTCTGGAGCATTTCTAAGGATGAGTGAGTTTTAGTTAATAGTTTAGGATTAGGATTAGGACGTAATTTTTACT